GGTCCCAAACCCCCACGGGGGGGGTCCCATGGGGGGTCCTAAAGGGGGTCCCATAGGGGGTCCCAAACCCCACGGGGGGGGTCCTATAAGGGGCTCCTATATGGGATCCCATAGGGGATCCTATAGGGGGTCCCAAGCCCCACAGGGGGTCCCATAAGGGGTCCCGGGCCCCATAATAAAGGGGGTCCCAAACCCCCACGGGGGGGGTCCTATAAGGGGCTCCTATATGGGATCCCATAGGGGATCCTATAGGGGGTCCCAAGCCCCACAGGGGGTCCCATAAGGGGTCCCGGGCCCCATAAGGACTCTGGACCTATAGAAGATCACAGGCCCTATAGGGGATCCTGTAGGGGATTCTACAGGAGATTTTATAGGGGATTCTACAGAGGGGATCCCATGGGGGGTCCCGGGCCCCTATAGGGGGTCGCAGGCCCTATAGGGGATCCTGTAGGGGATCCCACGGGGGATCCTATAGGGGATCTTATAGGGGATCCCATAGGGGATTTTATAGGGATTTTATAGTGGATCCTGTAGAGGATCCCATAACAGATTTTATAGGGGATTATATAGAGGATTTTATACGGGATCTTATAGGGGATCCCATAGGGGATTTTATAGGGATTTTATAGTGGATCCTGTAGAGGATCCCATAACAGATTTTATAGGGGATTATATAGAGGATTTTACATGGGATCCTATAGGGGATCCCATAGGGAATTTTATATGCAATCCTATAGTGGATCCTATAAGGATTTTATAGTGGATCCTATAGGGGATCCTAGAGGGGATTTTATAATGGATCATATAGGGGATCCCATAGGGGATTTTATAGGGGATTTTACATGGGATCCTATAGGGGATCCTATAGGAGATTTTATAGGGGATTTTATATGGGATCCTATAGGGGATCCCATAGGGAATTTTATATGCAATCCTATAGTGGATCCTATAAGGATTTTATAGGGGATCCTATAGGGGATCCCATAGGGGATTTTACATGGGATCCTATAGGGGCTCCCACGGGGGATCCTATAGAGGATCCCATAGGGAATTTTTTAGGGGTTTTATATGCAATCCTATAGTGGATCCCACAGGGGATTTTATACGGGATCCTATAGGGAATGCCATAGGGGATTTTATAGGGGTTTTACATGGGATCCTATAGAGAATCCCATAGGGGTTTTATAGTGGATCCTGTGGGGGCTCCCACGGGGGTCCCCAACCCCGCTGTGTTCGGGGGGAGGTCGCGGGGGTCGCGGGGCTCGCAGCCCCCAGGGCGGGCGGGCGGTCCCTCCCCCCCCCTCCCCCTCCGTGTCGGGGTCATGTCGCGACAGCCGGGCGATACCGGAGGTCACGTGGTGCTCACTCACCGCTCCGCGACCGCCGCTTCCCCCCGCGCGTCCCGGCGGCCCCGCTGGCCCCGCCCCCTCTCCCCCCATTGGCCGCCCGCCAGCGGCTCCGCCCACCGTGCGCGGAGGCCAGGCCTCTTTGCCCAAACATGGCGCCTCATTGGCCAGGCCTCTTCCGCCCTCGCCTCCCTATTGGCTCAAACAAATGTCATCCATTCAGGAGGCCCCGCCCCCTCCCGCCTCGCATGAGGAGGCGGGGCTCTGTGACGTCACAGCCGAGCCTCCCGCTGCCATTGGCGGCTCCGCGGGCGCTGACGGGGCGGGGGCGGAGCCAAGGGGGAGGGGCGGGGTCGGGTGATCTCACGTGATTCCTGCGGGCCCCGCCCTTTCCCGGCTGTACGTTCATCCCGCCCGGCAGGGGGCGCGCTGCGCCCGGCCTGGCGGCGCTCTCGGGCCCACCAGGGGCTCTCTATGGCCCGCGCCCCCCCCGGGGGTGCCCCCCAGCGCCTCGGGCCGCAGTGGGGGGCTCTGCGGCTGCCTCCCCCCACTCGGGCAGCGTTCCGCGCTCCCCCCACGCAGGGGAAGGAACTGGGGCCTCTCTGGCTTTTAGGAAGGTGCAGGCCTCTCCCGTCCCAGAGCCCCTCACCGCATTTGGGACGACATTCCATGGGGTGATCCACCCTATAGGAGACCCTGGGACGGGAGTGTGGGGGTGCAGAGCTCCCAAAACCCCCCTCACTCGCGGGAACCCTCCAGAACCCCTTCCCCTTTTGCGGGGCGCTCCTGGGACTACAACTCCCATCGTGCATCGCGCCACTCCACCCGCGCGCAGGCGCAGCTTCTCCTTCTCCCTCTGCTGCCATGGCAACTGCGGGGGCCCTCTTCGTTATGCGCATGCGCACCAGCTCCGAGCTGCGGCGGGAGGGCGGCGCGCGGCCATTGCGAGGCGGTGATTGGCTCAGACGCGCCGGCTCCTCCCACCAGCAGCCGGTGCGGGGCGCTGATTGGTGCCCTGGCGCCGGCCGCGCCCCTCCCGGCACCGCCCCCCCGCAGTCGGGGCGCGGCCGCCGCCCCGCACGGACGGGCTCGCTCCGCGCTCCGCCATGGCCGATTCCGCCGCGCAGTCCTCGCTCGTCTCCTCCAGCTCCTCTTCCACCTCCGTGACCTCCTCCTCCTCCTCCTCCTCATCCTCCACGCGGGCCCTGGTCGGCGGTTCCATGTCGTGCGCCGGTAAGGGCCGGGCGGGGCCTGTGGGGCCTGAGGGGGGTGAGGGAGGTGAGGCCTCGGCGGGGGCGTGAGGGGAAGGAGCCTTTGGGCGTTGGGTGTGAGGTGAAAACGGCCTGGGAGGAGAAGAAACAGGGAGGGAAAGCCCTTAAGGGGGCGGTTATTTGGGGCAGGAGGCTTTTGGGGGGCAGATCTGGGGGAAAGCGGCGTCTGGGGGCTTGGTGTGAGGTGAAAAGTCTTTTAGAGAGGTTTAGAAATGAGGCGGGGGGAGAACGTGAGGGGGAAATGAGGGAGAAAAGGCCTTGGGGGAGCAGATTTTGGGGAGCAGAGACTTGAGGGGGGGATCGGAGGGTGATGGGGCCTTTTGGGGGTGGGTGTGAGGTTAAGAGGCTTGGGGGACAAAAACGAGGGGTTAAAGAAGTTTTGGGGTAAAACGGAGGGGAAGAGGCTTTGGGGGAGCACATCTGGGGGAAAGATGCTCTTAGGGGGATTTTAGGGGGGAGAGAAGTTTTTAGGGGGATTTAGGGGGGAGAGAAGTTTTTTAGGGGGATTTTAGAGAACAAAGAGGCTTCGAAGTGGAGATTTGGTTGGTGGGGAAGATTTTTAGAAGCCGGTTTTGATGGGCAGTGACACCTCCACCCCCACAGCTCTCAGGAAAAAATGCCCAGGAAAGGGAAAGTTGATTATTTTTGGGGTCGTTGGGGACCAGCTGCTCCGTCCGTCCTTCCCTGGAATTTTGGGGAGGGGGCGTTTCACCCTCCGCTGTGCCCCCTCCCCTTCCATCCGTCGCTCCAGAGCATCCTGACTCGGCAATTCCCAGGATTTCACCCCAATTTTCACCCCCGCACGCCGCAAAAAACCCCAAAACTCCTCGGTTTCACCCCAAATCTCCCCCTCGGGGGGGGGGGGGCAGCGCCGGGA